TTTTTAAAAAAAAAAAAAAAAAAAAAAAACAATAGATATTAAAAATGTAGAATTAAAATTATTTGTTATACTATATGATTATATATTTTTTTAAAAAAAAAAAAAAAAAATTAATGAAAAGAATTTTTAATTTAAAAAAAATATATATATAATAATTAATATAATGAAAAATTATTTGTACATAAATCATCTGAAAAAGTTTATTGAAAATGAAAAATTAGCACTTCCTAATTTTGAAACATTAATGGAAGAGGAAGAAAAAAAAGAGCAAGATAATAAAAAGTTAGAAGAGGTAAGAAGTACTTTAAGTTCTAATTGTAGAATAGTTAAAATAGAGGATGAAGAAATAGAAATTTTAAAATGGAATTCATTAAAAAATATTAAAATAAATGATTTTATTATAAATTCTTTGAATGATAAATTTCATTTCAAAACATTTTTACCTTGTCAAAGCTGTATTTTACAATATATATTATTTCATAAAAATGGATCGAGCTCATTAATTAATGGTGACATTTATATTGAAGTTCCAACTGGTCTTGGAAAAACGTTATGTTATATAATTTCAATTTTAGATTATTTCTTATATGAAAAGGATAAGAATTTATTTTGTCTTATTTTGACAGCAACGGAAGAATTAGTTAATCAAATTATAACGGTTATTAAAAAATTTGACATAAACAATTTAATATGCAAAAATATAAATACAAATATGTTTCATTCTAATATTTATTTTGATGAAATAATTGACAACGATAATACTTTTAAAGATTGCAATATCATTGTAACAACTACTAGCAAATTTGAAATGCTATTTTATAATAATGAAGATATGTTTAAACATTTAAAATTTCTAATTATAGATGAAGTAGATAAAATTTTATCTTTTAACAAAAGTAATATTAGTAGCATAGTTAATTCTTTAACAAATATTGTAGAAAAATACCAGAATTCAACTAATAATTTATATAAGCCAAAATATTTTCTTCAAAAAATTTTAGTATCTGCTACTTTATGTAAAGTTTCTGATAACATAATGTCTTTAAATTTATATAGACCTATATTTTTTTATTATATATTAAATTATAAAAGAAATGAAGAATTTTATTTATACACTAAAAATAAATATTATAAACTGTATTTTTTAATTAAACTGATTACAGATATACATAATAAAAGTAAAATAGAAATAAAAAAAAAAAAAAAAAAAAATGATAATAATAATAATGATCAAATTGCAAATATATTTATCCTTATTTTTTTTTACAGATGATTTGAATATGTTGATTTTCTGTGATAGTGAAGCATCATCTCATAATTTATTTAGATACTTAACCATTTATTTTAGTTATACCAATGAAAAATATTATAGCATAAAAGAGTATAATCGTAATTTATCAAATCTCAGAAAAAAAAAAATACTCAATGAATTTTTAAATAAAAAATTGAATATCTTAATATGCACAGATTCTATTTCAAGAGGTTTAGATACAGTAAATTTAAATTATCTTGTAAATTATGATATGCCCAAACATTATAATATTTTAACTCATAGAATTGGGAGATTAGGAAGGTATAAAATTTTGATATACTTTTATGTGAATATATATATAATAAGAGTAAAATTATATACTATATTTAGTTAATATTATAACATAAATGTACATACAAAATTATGAATTTATGTTACATAAATATGTATATTTAGTCTGTTTACAAAAAATGTTATATTCATTTTTTATAATACCTTAATTTATATATATATATATATGTTATAAATATTTCTATGTAGATATAATAGTAGTAAAGGAATTGTATATCATTTTATCAAGAAAAGTGAAAAGGCGGTTATGAATAAATCAGCTAAGCAAAGAAATATTAAATTAATTGAACAAATGAGATTTAAAAAAAATAAATTACTTAATATAAAAAAAAATATATTACATTTAAAACCATTAATTAAAAATACAATAAATATGGAAAATAAAGAGATAATAAAATATCACAAATATTATAGCTATGAAGATTTAATGAAATTGAGCAATCAATAATATTATGTATATGCATAACCTTCTGAAATTTTTTTTTTAATTATTTTCCAAAAAATGAAAAATACGTAAAATAAATTTCACATTAAACCTTTTTTATGCAAATATATTTTTTTTTGAATATATTTCAAGTTACTTCCGTCTTAATATAGACAAAAAAAACATCTACATTATTTTTATTTTTTTAAAATGTAAAAAAGCTTAACATATTATGTAACAGCTATTGTAAATTGAAAGAAGTTACAAACTTTTTCATTTAGTTAAATTTTTTTAGTTCTATTAATTTTAATATTATTTTTTTTTTTTTTTTTACATTATAAAAATTCATTATATAATTTATTTATATTTATACTTTTCATAATAACCTTTTTGTGCTTAAAAGTTTTTCTTTATTATTGCAATTCATTATTTATGTTGTTTTATTTTAAGATTATTTTAAATCTGAATAAATTTTAAGCATGCTAAAAAATTTATATTAATGTGAACAAATATAATATATTTGATCACATTTTATTTAATTTATTTTTCACTTTTTTTATTTTGGATTTAGCATTTTACACTTCTTTATGCACTCTCTATGTGAAAATATATTCATATAATAAAAAGTGATTTTCGTTTAAATGAATAAGAATTTTAAAACTTATTTAAAATAGAGAAAAAATTTTTTTCTCTTTAATAATACTTATAAATATAAAATAAGTAATAAGAAAAAATTTTCAACTTTTTTTTTTTTCCATTTCTTCAGGCATAAAATTTCAATAAAAAAGTGTTGCAATATCATAGCTATAATAATGTAAGTTGATTAATGAAAAAAAAAAAAAAAAAAAAAAAAAAAAAAAAAAAANAATAAAAAAAAAAAAAAAAAAAAAAAAAGAACAAATCTACACATTAAGAAAAAAAAAAAAAAATAATAAATCTATGAACACATATTATTATTTGTAGTGAAATTTTTATATTTAAATATAATTTTTTATTTATTTTATTAAAATTATTTTACACATTTTTTAATTTTTTTTTTTTTTATGATGTTTTGATAAACTATATGTTAAAATAAAAGGAGCTATAAATATTAAAAAAGTGCTCATATATACTTCAAAAATCTTTGAAGATTAAAAAACAATTTTTTAATTTAGATAAAAAAAATCTTTCAATATTAAAATAAAAAAAATTTTCATTACATTAGAAAAATTTTTAAAAATTAGAAAGCCAAGATCTTTAAAATTAAATGGAAAAAATGCCATAAGTTAGAAAATAAAATATATATATATATAAAAAAAAAAGGGAAAAAAAAACCCAAGAATAACTACAAAAATTAAACATTATTTTTTCCTAATTACTACATATATGAACTCGACCTTAAAAAAAATATAATAAAATGTATGATATACCCATTCTCTTTATAAAATTTATAATGTTAAAATAAAAAGATATTTAATAAAATAGTGGTTTTTCTTTTTTAAAAAAAAAAGTATTAAAAATTTATTAAAAAAAAAAAAAAAAAAAAAAAAAAAAGAAAAAAATTTGCTTGAAATATTTCTAAAACTAAGAAGAATAAAATAACATTAAGTTTTTATTTTCTATTTTTTTGCGGTTATATTTATTTTTTATTTTTTAGATATAATTTATAATATTTTTTTAATTTCTATATATATATTTTTTTTTTTTTAATAAATTATAAAAATGAAGGTATATTTATTGTATGTTTTGTTATTATGTTTACAACAATTATCTGTTTACTCATTGGATCATGTCTGTGATTTCACAAAAGAATCAAATATGCGTGGAACTTCAAATAAAAAAATATGTGAAATAAATGCCAAACCATTTGATTTAATAACTTTCAAATGTCCAAAAAAATTTGGTCCAAAATGTTTTAGTTCCGTAAGTTTATCAGATGATATAAATAACCCAAATAAATTAGAAGCACCAATGAATCAAGTATTATATGGATCAATAGTTTATGGTGATAGTGTTTTAATATCACCAGTAGTTCCACGAAACACAACATTCTATTGTTTTTGTAATATAGAATCGAAAATATCAAAAGAAACAAAAAATGTAGTACCAAAAAGTGAAAAAAAACAGGAAAAAGAAGAAGAAGAAGAAGAAGAAGAAGAAGAGGTAATAGAGGAACCTGAAGAAATAAACGAAGATGCACAAAGAGCGTTAGACAGAGTGAAAAAGGGAAGAAGTGTAAAATACAGTGAAAAAACTAAACCAAAAGAAAGCGTAGTTCAAGAAGAATTAATAGAAGAAGAAGAAGCACAAGAACAAACTCAAGGAAAGAGTAGAATATCTAAAATTGGTATTATGAAAGTTGTAGTTTCAAGTAGTCCTAATAAAATAAAAGGATGTGATTTTGGTAGTACTTTCTCTGATTATTTTACAAAACCATTTCCTCTGGAAAAACATGGAGGTAGTAGAGTTTGTAAAATCGAAGCAAATCCAGGTGAATTTGTAGGATTCAAATGTATTTACGATAGTGAAGGTTCTATAGAACCAAAAAATTGTTTTGAAAAAGTTTATCATAATAACACAGAAAAAAATTTAAAAGACATTATGCCAGGATACATTTCTTATAATAATGGACAAAATGCTCATTATGCTTTTTATATAAGGTTACCACATTTTATACAAAGTAGTTATACTATTCAGTGCAAATGTAGATCAACTCAAAGTGAATTTGATAATTACATTTTTGAATTAGACGTAACAGGAGGAGAAAGTGACATTATAGAAAATTCTTTCAAACATTAGAGATATATATATATATATATATAGCAAATTGAAATAATTTCGATTTTTTTTTTATTTTTAATTTCTTTTTTTTGTTATGTTTTTTTTTTTTTTTTCCATTTATAACATTTTTTTTTTATGTCAACCTAAGAATAAAGAAAAATATATATTATAAAATTTAATTATAATATTTTTAAATATTTTTTAAATATGAATATCTTCATTAAGGTATATTATGAAATGTATTAAATGAAAAAAATATGAAAAAAAAATTAAGGATCTAAATGATTTTTTATTTTATTTAATAAAAGAAATATAAAATATAAAAATAAAAGATTAAAGAAAATAAAGAGGATTAACTTTTTATGAAATTTCTTAGGAGTAAATGAGAAAAATAACTTTATGTTTTTCTATTAATAATCCACATCTCATAATTGAAAAGGAAATTTTTTATAGGTTTTTTTTTTTTTTTTTTTCTTTTTTAATTTTTTTTAAATATAAATATTATTCTTTTTACGTTGCTATTATATAAGATTTTTCCTTTTTATTTTATATCTCATTTTCCAACATGCATGTCTATTTATTAATACATCAGCTTTTATTATGTTATTTTGTTTTTTCGTGTTCTATTTTATATTTATATATTAATTATGTTTTTTTCTTTTTAAAATTTTTCATTTTATTTTATTTTTGAACCTTTAATTTTTTTTTTTTTTTTTTTTTGTTATAATTTTAATCTCTGAGATGGGCTATATACCTTTAGAGATTTATAAAAAGAGATGTTTAAGTTCTTAAATATTTTATTATATATTTTGTTCTGATGATTATTTTATTTTGTTTGTTTTTTTTTTTTTTTAATTATAGATATTTTTTATAAAAATTACACTTATTTAAAATTCACCATTTCCTCATTTAAATACGATTAAAAAATTGATCCTATTGGTATTCGAAGAATGTCTAGTTTTAATACATGCCTTGATAATATTGAGCAATAAATAATTAACTAGAACAAAATTAGACTCATATTTTTAATATTTTTTTCCTTTTAAATTATATAAGAAAATAATATACTCAAAAATTATCTAATTATTTTTTTAATTTTTTTTTTATATTAATTCTCAAGAAAAAAAATTCACACTTAAATATTTTTACTTTGTCCTACAAAAAAGCCTAAAAAATTTTTAAGCATATATATTGTTAAATTTTTACTTCTTTTGTTATTATCATTTATTTTATAGATGAAAATTTATATTTATATAAAGTAATTATTATTTTGTTATTTTATTTTCTACATTATAATAGAAAATAATTATTCATAAAATCTTTTTATATTTAATATTTTTTTTTTTCCTTGTTCCTTTTTCATCCTATATCATTTTGAAAAGTCAAAATTCTTTATTAATTTAATTGAAAAAAAGATAAAAAAATAATTTTCTTTCTTGCTATTAGAAGGGAAAAAAAAAAAAAAAAAAAAAAAAAAAATGAGAACTTCCTTATATATTCTTCTATTAGCATTTAGCTACTTTTCTAATTGGGAATATTTTGAACATTTTAAATTATTAAATAAATTGATAAATAATAAAGATAACAAAATAATATATCATAGAATTTTGAAGGATTTATATGATAGCAATAATTCAGCATATAATAATGCATTAGATAAAACGAACATAAGAAAAAAAAAACAAGAACTGGTAGTTCCTATAAAGAAAGAAGAAATTAGTGTAATAAACAAAACAATAGTAGAAAAATTAGATATAAAAAAAGAAAAAAAGAAAGAATATTTATCAGAAGAAAGTGAAAATGTGAATAAAGAAGAAAAAGAAAGAAAAATAAAGGTAGAAGATAAAAAAAAAGATGAAATAGATGACGAAAAAAAAAAATTAATTAAGAAAAATTCATTAGACAAAATAAAAGACATAAATATATCTGAGAATATTACAAATAGTTCTGAAAATTCGGCTGAAGAATATGATGAGGATTTATTTGGAAAAAGTGATCATTTATTTGAAATGAGAAAATTACAAAAAAGAGCAATTCCATTAATAAAGGACACAGAAGAAAACGAATATATAAAATTATTAAATAGTATGAATATAATACCAAATGAAAAATATATATTAAGCAAAAGAGACGAAAAAAATTATAACAAAATAATGGGATATTCATATATATTACTAAGTGAAATAAACAATGATACTAAGTTAATTTTTAATACGTATTTAAAAAGAATTTTTGACTTATTGTTAAGTGAGAAATTAGTCATTAATATGTGTAATAGCAGTGGAGAAATTTCATTTAACTTGTCAGAAGAATTAATCAAAGTACCAAGATTTAATTGTAATACTTCAAATATAAATATAAATAATTTAAGTAATAAAAAATGTAATAAATATATTAAAGAATGTAAATCTGAAAAGGAGAGCACAGCAAAAGATTGTAATCAAAAAATATTAAATTGCTTTTTATCATTTATAAAAAATGGAGATTATCTGATTGTTGACCATTTATATGAATACTATAGTTCTTTAGAAGATATAATAAAAAAAACAGAATTAAGAAATCAAATGGATTATTTATATAAAAATTACACTTTTCACCCATTAGAAGAAAACAAAGATGTATTAAAAAAAAAGGTACATAATAAAATATTCATAGAAGCACTTGGAACAATATTGTTCAATAAATACCGAAAAAATAAAAAATATTTATATTCAAGTTACATAATTGTTATAGATACTTTATTTTCTGCAATTAGAAAAAAAATAGTAGCTTCAGATATGTTTAAGTTTGTTGAATCTTTTTTTGTAAATATATTTTTGTTACACAAAAAATTCTTAGGATTCTTATTGAGATCTCCATTTTATATTAAATATAAATTATTTTATACTCCTAATTTAAGTAAAAGAAATTTTGAGAATACTTTGACTAGGATATATTCTAGTTCTGTTCTAGACGACCTTTTAAATAATGAACTAGATGATTCAAAACCTGAAGAACCATTAAAGAATACGACTAATGGGAAAAAAGAAGAAAAATATAATTTTATTGAAATATCTAAAAATTCAAATGAATCCTTATTAAATAGCAATAATCAAATTCAAAATGCTCTCTCTGGTGAAAATGATGTTTTATGTAAATATATCCCAATAAAAAAAAAGTAATTATTTTAAAAAAAAAAATTAATTTCCATAAATTTTCTTTTTTATAAAGTTTAAAATTATATATGTATGTGCGTTTTTTACAACATATATATTTTACATTATTTTTCTTCATTAATAATTTCTGATATAATTTCAATTACATTTTTGCTGTTAACAATAAACTTTTTATACATACCATCATTTCCTATCATCAAATTATTAATTTTTTTAATAAATAATTGAATTTTTTATATTTTTATTAAATTTTTTTTTTTTTTTCTTTATTTGTTATTTATTTTATGTGATATATATTAGAATATATTACAATTAATTTTCATTTTTAGCTTGTTACATATATCTTTGTATACTTATATATACATTATTTACGCATACTTTTTTTTTTTTTTATATTAGGGTGATATATGAAAAGCTAAATGTTACAAAAAAAATAGCAGAAGAAGCCATTTTAAGTTACCTGGTTCAATTGTTGTTGAAAAAAGTACATAAATATGTAGTTGAATAGCCCTATAAAAATTGTTATTATAAATAGATCTTTTAAAAAAAAAAAAAGAGAATATATAAAACAAATAAAAATTTTTATCTACTTAATTTTATGAATTCTTTTGAATTTTTGTAGATAAAAAAAAAAAAAAAATAAAATAAAATAAGCTTGCATAGTTCTTATAAATACATATTATAAATGTATATATTAAAATATTTTTTATAATTTTAATTTATTATTTCAAATTTTATCGTTCTTTTATTTTAGTTAAAAAATATCTCTTAATTCATGTTTTTTTTAAAAGATTAAATCATAAATCGTTGTTATTCCTGTATGCTAGTGATATTTTTTTTTAGTCATTTTTTTTTTTTTGTCTTTTTTTGATAATTATTATTCTTATAATTTTTTTTTTATTTTATACAGATATAATTTTTTAATTTAATTTTGAAAATGTAAAGACTTTTCGTAAACTTTTTATAAAATATATCTTTTTAAAAACTTATGCGGTTTAGTGCACTAAAAATTTAACATGAATATAAAAAATGATGATACTATATTTTATTTATATTTAAGATATAGAATATTTTAATATAAAAGATTTTGTTAATGATATATTTTATTCTTCTAAAATTATTAGAACATTCATAAAAAGAAAAAAAGAAAAAAAACTATACATAAATATGTGCATAAATGTAGTGATTTTTATTTTTTATTAGTTTTTATTATTAGGAATTATTGTTGATTTTATTTTTGTTATTTTTTTTTTAAATTATCTTGATATGATTTTTAGCTTTTTTTTTTTCATAATTATTTTAAATTATATAAAATGTGACATTCCTGTACATTGTTTAAGTAGACACGTAGAAGGTACGTGGGAAATTAAATTGGGTTTATTAAAAAATAAAAATTCAGAAAACAAAGAATTGCAAACTTCAAAAAAAAATATAATAGAAGATAATTTGAATGAAAATAGTTATGATTATGAATGTGGATATAGGAGACCTGATGATTCTAAATTCCATGGTGTAATATTATTATTATTATTATTTAAATTTATATTGCTTCTTTTAATAACATTTAATTTTGTACATTTTTTTTTTTTTTTTTTTTTCCCCCCATATTTTATCATTTTGTTTTATTACACTTAAATATATATATTTTCCATATTTCATTATATTGAATACTGTTAGTATAATTATTTTTATTTTATTGTTTTTCTCACTATTTTTTGAAACTTATAAAAAATAGTCATAATTTTTTTATTAAATAGATGGCCTTAACCCAGAGAAAGTTAAAGAAAATTTTGAAGAGAAAAAAAGAAAAATTTTTGTTTTCAATAACGATAGGACAATAAATGTAATTGAAAATGATCATATAAATTATGAATATAAAGGTTATTGGAGAATAATATATGATGAAGCTTTATATATAGAAATATATAAAGATATTAAAAAAAAAGAAATATATTTTTCTTTTTTTAAATTTAAACAAGAAAATGAAGTATCTTATAGTTATTGTAATAATTTAATTATAGGTATAGTAAATGTTTATTACTTGAATTATAATTATATAAATAAAGGAAATATTAGTAATTCAGGAGATAACGTAATAAGACAGAAGAAAAATATTAATTTTCTAAAATATAATATCAGAAAAAATATTTTTAAAAGCAGGAAAAATCTAAACAATAAACAAAATGATTTGTACGCATTAAAAAAATATATAAATTATTTAGAAATAAAATACGAATCGTTGAATTATGTAAGTCCAAATAGTTATTTTAGCAGCTCTCTTCAAGAAAAAGAAAATAAGAAAATAAATGAAAAAAAATATTTTTATGGTCTAATTGATTATTACAATGATAATTTTATAAATTTTGAATTCCTAACAATGGATAGATATTGTTGGTACGGAAAAAAAATAAGTGAAATATCGGAATACCCAACAAATAAAATTCCAACTGAAATAGTATCTCCTCTAATAATTGATGTAAATATGCATAACAGAAATTATGAAACTATTAAAATGCAAAAAAAAAGAAATATAGATAAATATCAAAAGAAAAACGTGGGAATTATAGAAAAGACAGAAAGAAATGAAGGAAAAAATATTTTAAATTTTAATTTATTTAATAAGAATACATTTAAAAAATCTAAAAAAAATAGATTATTTGATATGTATGCTCATAAAAAGATTGAATTATTAAACTTTGATTGGACAAACGAAAATGATATACGAAACAGATTAGGTAATTTTGTAAAAATTGTTGATAATGCTATTGATCAAAGAAATTGTGGATCTTGTTATGCAAATTCAGCTATGTTAATTATTAATAGTAGATTAAGGATAAAATATAACTATATAAAAAATGTTGATCTTTTATCTTTCAGTAATGAACAATTATTGATATGTGATTTTTTTAATCAGGGATGTTCTGGTGGGTATATATATATTTCTCTAAAATATGCTTACGAAAACTTTGTGTATACAGATAAGTGTTTTAAGAAATATATGAATACGTATATAAATAAGGATGAAAAAAATAATTCTCTGTGTGACAGATTTGACACTTTTAAAATTTTCTTACATAAAAGAAATAATTATATGAAAAACATCCCAAATAAGAAAAAAAAGAATATTATGAAAAAAGTAGAAAAAAATAATATTTTCGTAATTAATATGATGAATGAAAAAAAAAGAAAATATTTAAAAAATTCAGAAGATAGCATAATTAAAGATGTAAAATTGCATAATAATAGCAATGAAAATGAACTAAAAAATGGTATAGAAAGAAATCGAGAAATTAATGATATTGGAACAAGTAACAAGGAAATTAATGAAAAAAAATATCATGAGAATAGTCATAGAAAATTTTTCAATTATAAAAAAAAGAATGAAAATAACTTTAATAAGAATTATGATGAAGATAATGATGAGAGTAATCAAAAATATGATGAAGAATTATATGAAGATTATATATTAATGAATAAACAAATATATGAAAAATATAAGTTTGACATAAAAAATTTGAATAGCTGTGATATAAAAGTTAAGGTAAGAAAGTTTGAGTATTTAGATATAGAAGATGAAGAAGATTTGAAAAAATATCTTTACTATAATGGTCCTATTGCTGCAGCAATTGAACCATCAAAAAAATTTGTGAAATATAAAAAAGGAATATTAAAAGAAAACTTTATAAAAATGCATGATGGAGAAAAATCAAATGCATATATATGGCATAAAGTAGATCATGCTGTTGTTATAATTGGATGGGGAGAAGAAACGCTAGAAAGTTTTATGAAGAAAAATAATTTAAATGAATCAGATATTGATAATATTTCTGATATAAAAGAAAAAGACAAAAATAAAATAATAAAATATTGGAAAATTTTAAATAGCTGGGGAACAAAATGGGGAAATAATGGTTATTTTTATATTTTAAGAGATGAAAATTACTATAATATAAAATCGTATCTTTTATTATGTGATGTTAACTTATTTATTAAAAATCCACAAAAAAAAAAAAAAAAAAAAAAAGTAATTAATTATAATTAAATAAAATTTTAAGTATATTTAAAATATTATATTTCAAAGTTAACTTTAATAATTAAAAAAATTTTAACATAAATCAAGATTAAACATAATAATAATTGAACAAAATTTCAAATATTTTAGAAATAAGATAATTTTATTAACCATTTTATTATTTCTTTCTAATAAGTTATGGGGAAAATAATATTTAATTTGTTTTTTAAGCATATTTATAATGATTTTGAATTCTCTTTAATAAATATAATTCATAATTATATTTTTATACATTACTAAAGTATACATCTTTAAAAAAAGTTTTGTATATGTATAAAATAGACAAAAATATATATATATATAAAATCAAATGAATATATTAACATTTTAAACAATATTGAATAATATCTATATAAGAATCTCATAAAAATTGGTGAAATCATACTAAAATATATACTTAATTCTTTTATATTTTCTTAAATATATATATATATATATATATTTAATTTTTTCTTATTTTTACTGTTTTTGTTTTCTTTCTACATATTTTTTTAATGACAATTTTATTTCATAATGAAGCTTTAAAAAGAGGGAATAAAAAATTGGATTTTTGCTTGTTCCTAATAAATTTTTATAAACAGACTGATATTTATCAAAATGATCATTTAAAAATAACTGAAGTTCAAAAATATCATCTTCGTAAGATTTTTCTTCATTTTTTCCCATAATATAACAATATTTATTTCCATTTCTATTTATATATTTTTCTTCTGTGTGTGTTTGAGTAAAATTATTTTGATTGTAAAATGAATAATACATAACATGATTATTATATATATGATTTAAATTATATATGTGTATATCATTATTAATATTAAAAATATGTGTGTATTTTTTAAAAACTTCATAACAATTTATTCTTTTATTATCAATTTCAATATCTGTGTTTATATTCGCATGAATATAAGACCTATATATACATATATATAGTAATTCACAAATATTAACTCTTAATGTACACTTATATTTATATTCTGTTTTTTTACTAATAGTTATGTAATTTAATGCCTTATCATAATAGTAAATAAATTGATTTGATTTCGATTTATCATCAACAAAAATTACATCAAAAAAAGAAATATTCAATATTAAAGTTTCCCATAATTCTTTTAATTTCTTTTTACTAATATTATAATATAAAGGAATGTGAATCAAAGCCAAAGAAGATAATATTTTAATTTTATAAACATTTGTGAATCTTAATGTATTTATTAAATTATCCAATATCTTATAATGCAAATCAGGAAAGTTTTGAGCAAGGAAGAAAGAAAAATTATTATAAATTAGCTTAAATGCATACAACACATTCCATGTAATTTTATTTTTTATATGATCCTTAACTATTGATAATAAATATAAAATAATTTTAGCATCTACATTATTGGGATTATTTATGAGATTATTTTTATTTATATTTGAATTGAATATATCATTTATTTCTATTATAATTGGATTTGAATATATTTTTTTTTCTTTTTTATCTGAATATGATTCAAATATATTTTCATTAAAATGATGTAAAGTAGTATTATATTTTAAATTTTCTAAATTTTCATTATTTTTAATATCATATTCATTTATATTTTCATTTATAGGTATCTTCTTTACTTTACTGCAGTCTTCATTATCTATTATATTTTTTTTTTCCATATTTTTGCTAAAAGAAAAAAAGCAATCTTCAAATTCATATTCATATTTTATATATACATTCAAAAATAAATGATATAATTTCATATGTTGTGAATTATTGCTAATATTATTATTTTTTTCTATATGACAATTTTTTTCATAATTGTTTTTTAAATTACTTAAATTTTTATTATTTAAAATATCATTTTCATGCAAATAATCACTGCATACCTTTTTTTCTTCAGCATCATATCCTGTTTGCACATGTTGGTTTATAATTGAATTTTCTTCTTTTTCATTTCTTAATTGATCTTTATTTGTTTCTTCTTTTATATTTTCTTCTTCAACTGGTTCATCATAATTAAAGAAATCGAATGACTTTTTTTCGATTAAATTATTTAAATAAATAAAATATTTAACAAGAAAGGTAGAAGGCAATAAATTAATGGAATTAAATAAAAAAAAGTTCATGTTTTTACATATAAAACCTACATATCTAATTATACAGCAAATTGCTCTATCTTTTTCTACATTTTTATTTTCTCTTATAATTAATAATAATATATATATATATTCAATGTAAGAAATTAAATACATATTGTTTGAAAATATTTCATTTATATTATTACTACATGTAATCGTACTAGGTGAATTTTCATGATTTTCTGATGCTTTTATATTATTGTTACTATTTTTTTTTTTATCCGGAATTAATATGTTTTTATTATTTGAATTTTGATGAGTTGTATCTGTGGAATTATTTTTATTATTTATATCATCATAACAACCTTCTTTATTATAACACTTATCATTAGTAGTATTATTCAACTTATTTAAGTTATGCAATTTTAAGTTATTTATATCCGTAGATAAGTTAATATTATTTATAAAATCGATAAATTTGTTAATATCTTTATTTTCTTCATTACTATAATTACTATAATATGAAAATGTTTTAATATTTTTATGTGTAAAATAAAATGGAATGTAGGAACTTGCAATTTCACATATACAATTGTATGTATAATACTTTAAATCAACAAAAGAGTCATTATAAAATTTAATTATATGAATAATAATATAAATATATATATAATATAATTCAAATAATTTTTTTTCATTTTTCTTTTTTTCTAACATATAAATACTTTTCCATTTTTTGCATTCATTATTTTCAATGGAAAGTAGATTGTTTATATTTTGTTTATCTATTTCTAAATCTTTGTGAGAATTAACGAAATTATAATATTTATCTTTAATTCTACAATTAATTAATGATTGTATAGGTTGACATAAGTTATCCATATTAAGAAAATTATATGTAGAATTATACATGTTATTTTCATTGTTATTAATATCCAAATTACTTATTTCTTTTTTATATTTATCATCTATTCTTTCTTCTATTTTTGTTTCTTCTTTTTTATTTTTTTTTTTATCTAAGAATTCTCCTATATTATTAATTTTTTCTTTATCATTGCTTGCATTAGTTTCAATTTCTTTAAAATTATTAGAATCAAAACAATTATTCTTTTCTTGTGCTACTGCAAATTTTCCATACTGCAAATTTAATAATTCAATACTATTTTCATTTGAGTTATAATTATCAATATACCCATCCCATTTATAATTTATAGATTCACTATTAAAAGAACAGCTGTTTTTGTGATTATTTTGATTTGCATAAGTATTAGCATTATGGTTATGAGTAGAAATTCTTTCTTTTTCTTGTATTTTTTCTTTTTTTGTAAGAGAACTTTCACTGAAATGATAACTTTTCTCAGATGCACATTCATCCACAAGTATATTGGGTACATTTTCCATTGTTATTACATCTCTTGCATATGGTTCTATTTTCAATAAATCATAATTGCTTTTTGAATTAGCGTAATCATTATTAATTTCAGAATTATATATTGTTGATTGTGTACGACTCATAACATTTTCATCAAAAAAATTACTTTTATCATCATAAGAATGTAATTTATCACATATTAAAGAATTATCAGTATTTACAAAATAATGAGTGCTGTTATATTCATTTTTTTGCAAAATTGCATTACTTAGATTCAAATACGTTTTAGTATTCAAATTACTATCAGTTGCATTTATTTGTTTATTAATATTAACACTACTATTTAATGAGCAAGAATTAGTCGTATAGTTCATACTTTCTTTAGCATTTTGTTCAAATATTTCATTTCTATGTGATTTCAAAATTTTGTTATTTAATACATTTTCTGTGTTGGATAAAACATCAATATTTAAATTTTTTTTAATATTGAAATTATTTGTTGTCATAAGAATATTATTATAATAAACATTGGTAGAATTCATGTGCAATAAATTAATTTTTTTTTCATAATTCTGAATAAACTTCTTATTAAAAGCAAAAATATATTTAATAATATATTTACTTAATGCTGTTATAATATTACACTTTATACTATGAACACATGAAGAAACTAAATTAGTTAGTTTTTGAATATCTTCAATTTGTAAAATTTTAAAACCTTCATAACTTAATTGAGAAATACATATAATAGTATTTAAAAAAATATGCTTCACTTTACTTCTTTTATTAATTACATCATCATGGATTTTATTTATATTATGTATATGTATCAATATGTATTTACGAAATAAATAAATCATATCATTTTCCACATTTTTAATAAATTTTTTTTTTTTGTCATTCTGATCTAATTCATCTAACTTAGTGTAATCTATTTCTTTTTTATTTGAAACATTGTTTATATCAATTCTTTTTTCTAAATCTTGTTCTATAATGTTTAATTTTTTTTTATTCACTAATATTTCTGATATACTTTTTACACTTTTAAATGAATTAATTGAATTAGACATACTTCTGTGACTTATATAATTATTGTTAGTAGTAGTATCGTCATTGTTACTAGTATTATTGTTATTATCATTGTTATTATTGATATTATTAATATTAGAATTATTATCATTGTTATTATTGATATTATTAATATTAGCATCATTATTATTGTTATTATTGATATTATTAATATTAGCATTATTATCATTGTTATTAATGATATTATTAATATTAGCATTATTATCATTGTTATTAATGATATTATTATTACTGCTATTATTATCATAGGTATGTATTATATTTCCAGTACTACTTATGTATTTTGTACTAGTAAAGTTATTCAAGTTATCTATTGTGTGTAAATTGTTTATATTTTTATTATCGATATCTATATCATTTTCCATTTTTGTATTCATAAAATCATTATATATGGAATTATATTGATCCTTATATAAACCATTTAAGATAGACGTGTTAATTTTATCGTAAGAAGATTTATTGTTATCATCCTCCTTATTTGGTATAACATATTTTGTATTAAAATGTGAGTTTAGGTTGCTATTTATGCAATCTTTAAATTGTTCAGAATTTTCATTTAATAAATATTGTTGCATATTATTAAAAATATAACTATTTTTAAATTCATCTTTTTGTTTATCAATTGATAATTCATTTTCATTACAATTATTATCATAAAAAGAATTAATAAAACCAAATATATCAATTACTATTTTTATTGAAATAACTTTAATATTTATATTTTCTGACTGTAAAAAATATTCTAATAAATTTTTAACATCTTTCCAACAATGCATATAGCAAAATAAATAATATTTTAACGTTTTTTGAAAAACCAAAAATATATTCTTAAATATCTGAATATCATAGGGTATTGAATTATTTTTATCAACAACATTTAAATTATTATAATCATTATTTTCCTTTTGCATATATGAAATAATGTAGTTGTCATATAAATCGTTATATGAACTCAACATTTGCCTTTTTTCATACTTATAATTTTCTTTATGGAAATTCTCAAAACCAGATTTGCTATCTACATCGAAAAAATATAATTTATCAATATTATTAATATCTGAAACATTATTTATGTTATCATTTTTATGTAAATAAAAATTATCATTTATATTAGATACATTTAAATTTTTTGTCAAAACATCTTTTCTATTTGTAGTGGGCTGATAAAATATTTTGTATAAGAAAATTAGCATAAAATATATTAACTGAGCAAAAGATATATTATACAAATAATTTTGAGATAAATTACCGCAATAAATATTATGGTTATTTAATTTGTTATTAATGTTATCACCATAAATATTACTACAAAGAAAATAATACATATCATCATTATATTCACATAAAAGAACAGAAAATATATTAATAATAACAGTAATTGTGCATATATATTTAGAATTTTTAGAATACTCATTACAATATAGTATATTAATTAATAATCTATAATCTTCTTTAGACAACAAATTTTTATTTATTTTATCAATATTCTTGTACAAAAATGCGACATCATTAGACCCCTTTTTTTTAAGTTTTTTTTTATTTTTAGTTACATTACTTACGATATTTTTGCATGAACATATTTTTTTTACTTTATTATTTTTTATATTTTCCATATCTTTATTTTCATCATTCTTATTTTTAACATTTATACTTTCTTTACCATCATCATCACATTTTTTTTTACCTTTTTTTTTTTTCTTTTCATTTTTATTTTTTTTTTTTATTTTTTCATTTTTTTTTTCATTTTCTTCTTTATCTTCTTCTTCTTCTTGTACTACTTTCTCTTTTTCTTCATTTTCTTCATTCATTTCTTCATCATCATAAGTATATTTTTCTTCATTATCATCTTGTCCTTTTTCTTTTGTTTTCTTATTTTCTTTTTCTCCTTCATTTTCCTTCATATCTTCTTCACTATAATCATATTCATCATTTTCTTTAAAACTATTTATATAATTGTTTAATGAACTAAATATGCGATCATCTTCATCTAAGTAATGCTGATACAGATAGTCATTATTCATCTGTTTGCAATTTATATGCTTATTCTTATTGGAGTTCATAAAATTATCATTACATTGAAGGTCATAAAAAGAATTTATGTCATTCATATTATTATCATTTTTTTCTTTATCACATTTTTCTTCATTATTAATGAAAAAATCATTAGAATTATTTATTTCAACTTTATTATTTAAATTACTATTATTTTGAAGTAGTCTTTGAATACAAAAATGAAAAACGTCTCCATGGTTAAAATAAATAAGATATTTTAATAAATAAAAAAAATATATTTTTAAAATAGGAAATAACAAAATTTTAAATTTAGTCAATGAGATTGATTGAGAAACACGTAGAAAGAATCGGTAAATATTTAATCTGTCTGCGGCTGTATAAAAATTATTTTTATTATCTAATACATATGTTTTAATTATAAGTTTTATTAATGTAGATATAATTTTTATGACATTCTGTTGGGTCATTGCTATTTTCATATTAGAAGAATTTACTTTATCATTAAGTTCTTCTTTCGAATGTTCATCATATAGATTATTTTTATTTTTTTCTAATTCTGTTAATGTTATATTTTCATTATTAAAATTACTTATGTTGGAAGAATTTTTCTTATTAAAATTATTATAATTACATGTATCATTTACAATCATATTAGAATTATAATGATTTGTCGTAATATTATTTGCTTCTTCATGTGTATCTAAATAAATTGATTTATTATAATTTGTGTTATTAATATTATTAGATATAATTCCATTTTGTTTTAATTCATCTTTATTTACGGTTAGGTTATTTTCTACATTTGATAAAGAATTATTAAACAATTTTCTATTATTTAAGAAATTAAAGGAATAATTTTTGTTATTCATAGAAATATTGTCCATATAATCATTATTGTTATTAATAATATTTATGTCGTTATTAACATTATTTATATTGTTATTAGCATTATTTATATTGTTATTAGCATTACTTATATTGTTATCCATATTATTACTATTATTATCTTTTAATAAAAACCAATATTTTAATTGTTTGCAATCAAATAAATATTTTAAACATAAAATTGCATTAGCTCTTAATTTTTGATTTCTATCACTCAATGTAATAGATATAAATATTGGAATATTTTTTTTTCTTTTTTCATTGTAATAATATAAAATTTTATCCCAGTTGTTTATGTAAATATGTGAAAACATCTTGATTAATGTATGAACACAACATAAGATATTACTTCTAATTGAAACTGATAATTCATCTTCGATTTTTTTTTTGGTATTTATTTTAGAGGGTATGAAAATATTATTGTTTTCTATGTTTTTATCATGTATATCATTATCTTTTATATTACTTATAAAACCCACATCAATTAAATTATCAATTTGTTTTTCATTATAATTTTCTTTGGAATTTTTTTTATTTTCTTGCTCTTCCTGTTTTTTATTCGTTTCTTCTTTATATTCCTTTTCATTCTCTTTATCATTTTTTTTTATTTTTATTTTTTCTTCAAAATTATTAATACATTTTTCTAATTCTGTTTTCTTTCCTTTTTCGTGTATATTTTCTTTACTAAATTTATTTCCTTTCTCATTTTTTTTTTTTTCATATAAATTATCATCTTCTGATTTAATATCTTCATCTGGATAATTTGTGCATACAAAGAAAAAAGGTTTTAGTGATTCATATAATGGGAAGGCAATAAATTCTTCTTTTTTTTTATTTCTCGATAGTACACGAATTTTTGAATATTCTATTAAAGTTTCATTAAAAACATTTGTAAAAGATAATATTATTCCAAGTGATACTTTATTATTTGATGAATTTTCATTATTCAAATCGTTTTGAAAATATTCATATAATTTTTCAAACAAACATCTATATAAATTTAGTAAAAAAAACCATACTTTATCTGTTATTGAAACAGGTTTTATTAAAATTAATTTTACAATGCAAAACATACAGGTTTTGATAATATGAAATATATAAACACCTAAATGAAGAATTAATAGAAGGTTTTTGGTTACAACACAAATACTATATAAAATAGATGAATTATATTTATATAAATAATTTAAGTTTGGTAGCATAAGTACTATTTCGTAAAATTTATTTAAATTAAAAAAAAATTCATCACAATTTTTTCCTCTTAATTTGGATAAATATAGATTCATTTCATTTATTTTCTTTTTTTTAAACGGATCATTATTCGTGAATAAATCGTTGAATACTCTGTTACTATAATCTCGTATATTTTGCATTATAACTCCCAATTTATAATCAAATTTATTATTATTTAAACTAATGTCATTCAAAAATGAATCATCATTAATATTACTATCAAATAAAATATCTTTATTTGATTTGCTTTCCTTTTTTCTTCCATTAAAAAGATTAGAAGATTTTGAATTATCTGAATTATAACCAGATGAATCCAATGTAATACATTTTTTATTAAATTTACTTTTTTCTAAATTTATATTACTTTTCAAAAGTTTAAGATCATAGTTCTTATTATAATAATCATATTTTAAGCTTTTTATTCCATTTGTATTAATTAATTCGTTATTTTCATTTAATGAATTACAAAAATAATTTTTATTATTTTTTTCATTATTACTAATATAATAATTTACTTTATTTGTAAAATGGTTATTTTCTGTATTCATTGTTTCAGAATGATCTTCTAAATTCATATTTCCATAATTAATAAGTTCATCCAGGTTCATACCTTCTTTATCCTTTGTATTAATACTATCTATATATATATTACTTAATACATCTTCTTTAATATTTAAATTATACATGTTATTTGTATTCGTAATCTTTTCATTAAACATAAATGTATTTAGTGAACTGAAATTGTTTTTTTCAAAATTTATATCAAATAACCATTTGTTTTTTTTTTCATCAATATTTAAAACTGAATCACTAATTTTATCATTTCTTGTATTTGTATTATTAGGAGTATTAATTTTTAAGTAGGAATTAGGTTTCATATTTTTATTACTTCTTGAACATTCTTGACTTAAATTCTCATAAATTTTCATATTTTCCATATAATTTTTGTACTTACTTAAATTAGTATCAACTCTATTTATATTGTTTGTAATATTATTATATAATGAATTATTTAAGTTACTTTCAACATTATTTAGTGAATTAATATCTATAGGATACTCAGATGATTTTAAATTATTTTTCAAAAAATTACAATTATCATAATTTGTTATATTTTTGAAATTCATTTCCTTATTATTTATTAAATTACTCCTTAATTCGTTTAGTTCATTTTTTTTTAAATTATTTATTAATTGTATTTTATTCGTATCGTAAATTTTTTGTTCATCATAATTTATATTATTATTATAGTTATATAAATTTAAATTATTCATATTCATATTCATATTATTATTGTCTATATTATTCATTTTTAGTTTATTTAAATTCATGTTATTTATATAATCTCCTAAAAATTCCATATTATGCTCATTTTTTTTATTATTTAAATTATCTATATTCATTATATTTTTATAATTTATGTTACTATTAGTTATGTAATTATTTATTACTCTATTATTAGGATGATCAATTTCATTGTAATTATTTATTCTACTTTCGTAATTATTTTCCTCATTTTCTTTAGATATTGTATTATTACCATTTCTAACTTTATTACTATTAAGTAATATATTGTTATTATTTGTTTTATTATAATTAATTACTTTGTTGAAATTATCTATCTTATTATCATCAACTATTATATTTTTATTTTTATCATTAAAATTAGCATACATTTCATTTGCATTTTGTAACTGTTTATTCTTATGTGTAAAATATTTATACAAATTTAAAGGTGAGTTTGAATTAAATGAATCGTTATTATTTTTAAAATTGTTATTATTATTTCCATTATTAGTTAAACTTATGTTATCATCATTATTGTTTATATGAATTATATTTTCATTTACAAAATTTGAATTATATCCATGAGTATAATTTGATTTATTTTCAAAAATATAATTTCTTTCATTAATTGTATCATATTTATACATATTATTTGAATGTCCATTATTGTTAATATTATTAAAATTATTTACATTATCATGTATATAATAATCAAATGTGTGATTATTTTCAAAATTATTCAATGATGCAATAAAACTATTATTATCCTCATAACTTATTTCATTTATATTTCTTAATTTTTGATCGTTTCTTAAGTTGATTTTAATTCTTTTATCTAATTCTTCTAAATTTACAGTATTACAGTTTTTATTGTTTTTAATGGCAGAATTTTGAATATTTTCACATTTAAAGTTATTTATTTTTTGTTCATTAATTAAATGATCATAAACCGTAAATAACTTTCCATCATTTTTTGTATATTTATTCCAATTAAAAAAATTCAAATTGATATTTTTTTCTAAATTTTCATTTACATATACATCACTACTGTTATTACAATAATTATCAGATTTTTTATTTTTTTCTTTTTTCTTAATGTTTGATTTTAATAATTTGGAAGAATTTTGTTGATTTAGGTTGTTTAGCATATCATCTAATGAGTATACTTGATTTTTTTTTTTGTTATTTTCATTATAAAATGGGAAATTAATTTTTTCAAAATTATCTGTATCTCTTATATTATCACTATTTCTTAATGGATAGAAATCTTTTTCTTCTAACGTATTTTCTTCTAAATTATATTCTTTATTTATAGCATTATGTAATTTATCTTTCTTATTTTCTTTCTTCATATTATTAATTATTAAATTCAACTGCTCCTGAGAAAAATTCTCGTTAATATTTAAAAAATTATAAATACTTTTATCCATTTTATATTTTCATAAAAATATATTCATAAATAATAAAACACAAATACATATACACATATATTTGTATGATAATTTAAATAAATAAGAATTTAAAAATATATAAATATATCAATTTTTTTTTTTTTTTTTTTTTTTTTTTTTATTTTTTTTTTTTTTTTTTTANCACATATATTTGTATGATAATTTAAATAAATAAGAATTTAAAAATATATAAATATATCAATTTTTTTTTTTTTTTTTTTTTTTTTTTTTTTGTATATCATATATTAATTTTTTTTTTCTAAACTTTATTATTTTAATTAGACATTTAGTTTCATATAATTTTCTATATTAATAACTTATTATTTTTATTTATAATAAATAAATTACTAATTAACAAATTTTATAAATTTTTTTGATAAAATACTTTTAAAAAGTTTTCAAATTAATAATATAAAGAAATTAATATTAATAAGAATAATTCATCAATTAAATATAATGTCTATTTTCTTATTACTAATATTTTCTGAAATATTAATAATTTAAATAGTTGTAATATTTTATTTAGAGAAAATAATACATCAAATATTATTTAATAGTTAAAAATCATAATTTTTTTTTTTTAAAAATAGAAATATAATTTTTTAAAATGTTAAAATATATAAATCTCAATAAAACAATAAGTTTTTTTATAATAAATAAAAGAACAAATAACATATATGTACTTTTATTCTAATTATTTAAGATATAGCTTATTTGTATATTAATTTTTTAAAAAAAAAAGACATATGTATATATTTCTATATAAAAAAAGTTTATGAATTAATTAGAAAAGATAATATATATTTCTTAAAATTTTATTTACTATTTATGCATAAGAATAAAATTTTTTAGAAATATTAAAAATAATTATTAAAAAAAAAAAAAAAATTCATAAAAATAAAATCATATAAATCATTTAATTTAAAAGTAAAATATGTAGGAACTAATGTTAGTCATGAATCTTAAAATGAAAATCAATTTTTTTTTTAAAAATATAAATATATGTAATAATTATATTAATTGTACATAATACCATATTAAAATTTAAAACTTTCTTAAAATAAATGTAAAAAAGAGTATAACACTTTTTTAATATGTAAATAGTAAAAGATATTTTAGAATATCATATTATTACAAATTTAAAAGAATAATTAATATTAATTTTTATAAATTATATTATAATAAGAAGAAGGTTATATAAACAAACAGTTAATATAATATATTAATGGAAAGAATGAAACATCAAATTATATATATAACACTAGTATATAATATTCTTTTTTTTTTTTTTTTTTTTTAGTACATCATTACTCAGAGAATATATTCAAACTTCTTTCTTTTTATTTAAAAAATTATAAAAAATGAACTTTAAATATTAATTATAAAATTTTAATAGAAATATAAACAAATAGTTATACAACTATGAAGTTTCTTAAGAATAAATATCATTTTAGAAAAAAATACATATTGATATAAGTTTTCTATTTATATTAAAATATAAATGAATACATCATCACTGATCAAATTTCATATATATAAAAAAAAAAATATTAATAAAATTAATTTAATACACGAAAAAAATGAATTTCAGAGGAATTTCATGAAATAAATATAAATTTTTAAGAAATAATAAAATAAATACCAATGTAAATTTTTTTTTATTTGAAGAATTTTAAAATATTATCTTATTATATAAACTTTGAATATTTATAATGTTTTTTTTTTTTTTTTTTAAAGGTTTTTTTCTATAATATACATTCTATCAATTTTATACTATTGTCATTAATGAACAAAATAATTAGTAATATTTAATATAAAAATTATGTGTTTAATTAAAAAAAATAAAAATAAAGTTTTAATATTTATATAATCATATATTTTCAAATATAAAAAATAAAAAAACACGTATATTAAATATGATTGACTATCATATCTTTTTATATAATTTTTTTTTTTTTTTTTTTTATATATATATGCCAATAATATATATTATTAATTGCAATATCTTAATAACAAATATATATTAAAAAAAATATCAATATATATTGACAATATTTTTTCTATAAATAAAAATATATATCAGTGTATTTCTTAAAAATATACTCACTATAAATATTATACATACATCTAAATAATATATACATATATATATGTATAAATATAACATTTATAATAAGTTTTTTCTCTTTATGTAGTAAAAAAAAAAAAAAAAAAAATTATATTTTTATTAAGATAATTTATAAATGATCTATTTTTTGTTTATAAAAAAAATGAACAATAAAAATTGAACATAAGTTATTGGAGTATATATATATATAATAATAATAATTGTAATAGTAATAGTAGTAGTAATAATACTACTAATAATAATAATAATTATAATAGTAATAGTAGTAGTAATAATAAAAATAATAATAAAAAAAATAATAATAATAAGAATAAGAATAAGAATAATAATAAGAATAAGAATAAGAATAATAATAAAAATAAGAATAAGAATAATATGAATAATAAAAATAATAATAATAAAAATAATAATAATAATAATAATAAAAATAATAATAATAATAATAATTATAATAATAATAAGAATAATAAAAATAATAATAATAATAAGAATAAGAATAAGAATAATAATAAGAATAATAAGAATAATAATAATAATAATAATAATAATAATAATAATAATAATAATTATAATAATAATAATAATAGTACTACTACTACCAATAATAATAATAAAAATAAGGTAGTAATAGTAGTAATAATAATAATAATAGAAATAATAATTTTTATATTATAAAAAAATACAAAATTATATTGGAATTTCATAAAAGTAAAATGAAATATATTCATGCATAATATATTATTCCTATATCATTTAAAAAAAAATATGTAGAAATAAAGGAATATCATAAAAAGATATTAAAAACATATAATTTTTCATAGAACGTTTTAATATTAAAAATAATAAAAGAAAAAAGCGAATTACATATGTATGTAAATTATTATAACATGTTTTTTTAATAAATAATTATGTATGAAAAGAAAAAAAAAAAAATTTTTTTTTTTAAAGTATTTGTATAATGTTATAAATTCACAAAATGAGAGTATAGAGGGAAAAAAAATTACATGTTATATATTATCTTTATAATTAATGATTTAAAAAATTTTATTTAAAATGCATATACAGATTATATTTAAAATTGTATTCATAATTAATCTTAAGTAAATAGAATTAACTACTATTTAAATATATATATTTAAAATATTTAACAATATATATATATGTAAATATATATATATTTTATAAATTTTATTGGAACACACAGAAAAAGAAGAAACAAAAAAAAAATATATATACGAGTTGTAAAATATAAAAATGAATCATTTTAAATTCAATATAATATGAATGAAATACCAATTAATAAATAATAAACATACTTAAAAAATATAAGTGTAACATATATATATATACTATTAAGACATAAGGAAACAAATAAGAATTTTTCAATAAAAATTTTTAATAATTTAAATAAGAAAGTTATTTATAAATATCCTATATTCAATAAATAATTTATTTCATTAGAGTATAAAACAACATTAATAAAACATAGAATTTAACTTATTCTTTTACTATATTTTATTTTCTGTATTTTTAAATGCATAATATATATTTTTTTAAATTAAATATCCTATAATATCGAAAGAAAAAAAAAAAAAAAAAAAAAAAAA